CACATAAATTTGCTTTTGTTCAAGAATACAGAAGGGCTATTCACCTACAGTCATCCCGAGTTTAATGTTAAATTCTGAAAGTGTTTTTTCACCTCACACTTCATGCTCCTAATTTCAAAATTATACATACTTAAAATGGGAGTACTTTGGCATTTAGTTCTGCAGGATTTTCTATCATGGAATTCCCTGCAATTTTGCCTGAAGTAGTTAGTACTCACTACTGTCCACAATAGATTTGAAATGAATTGGTCTCTGGTGCAAGCTAGGAAATCATGTTTCTTTCGGTTTTTAATCTCCTAAAGAATTGAAGAACAAAGATATCCACAGACTTCTTTCACCAACTCATCTTTACACAAATTTAAGTCAGCTCTATTTCAGCAGTAATTCAGAAAATAATTTCATGTTGAAAGGTCACATTAAATTTTATTTCTCCAGATTCTCCTAAAACAGTAATGCTAATGTGTAATATTTTAATTCAGCAAGCTTGTAAGATAGAATTGTGATGTATAGATGCATGTACCATTTTAATTGCTAAAAGAAAGGAAGCCTAAACAACCAAGAATATGACTAGCAAATTAATTACATAATAAAAATAAGAGTATGAGAACTGGTACTCCTTTCTAAAACCTTTAATCACAGATGAGCACTAAAGGAAGGGTATACTGAAGCATGTTTCTGAACTCACCCCTAGAAATTATTTATTTTTAACAGAGTTGTTTACACTTGCCCTCTGTATCTTCTCCATTTTTATTTCCTGCTTGTATTCTTCCTTTGACTTTTTTTTTTTTTTTTCCCGTTTTTAGACTCTACCTCTTCATCTTCTGTCAAAAACCACAGCATGCTCTCTCAAGATACTATGTTTGTTCCACCTCTCTTGGGTCATTTGCATCTTGGATGCAAATACCACCTCGTGCCCTCAAACAATAGCATCACAGAGCCCATCCAGGCAGACATGGTCACTTCAAAGGAAGATCCTGGGCTTTTAAACATTCTGCCCCCAACAAACTTGCTATAGCCAAAGTGCTATATTGCTATTCATATTCCTGATCAGATCATACTGGCTACTTTTTCTGCTTTAATCATTGTATAGAAGACAATCATCCTCCCTGTTTTAGGCCACTAAAGCTAGATTCTTTTTGATTCTTGGCTCCAGCAAACATTTTAAGTCAGGCACTTTTGCATATCACCCCTGAGGTTCCAACTTCCTTTGACCATACTGTTAAAAGCCATTCTCTAATCGTTTCATGCTTTAAACCTGCAGTCTCTTCCTCTCTGCACAGTACTTTTTGTCTTTTTATTTTTCTGGTGGCTTTATGAGGAGTTTGTTGGGTTGGGTTTTGTTAAGTAATTACGCAAATGCACTCAAAAAAAACCTCAAGCAAATTACCAATATTCAAAGATCCACACAAAGCTGTAAATTCATGTCATTAGCTTTGTGACACATCAGACAAATAGCAAAGATGTTAGTATTGCAAAAACATCAACTTCTGGTATTTCTACAGAGAGATTCCTTGAGAAAATTACTTGATGTAGGATCTACGTATAGAGGTTCTTTGGAAACAGGAAAAACCTATGTAAATAGTGAACATATGATAAGTCTGTCTTACTGCTGTGCCTCTTCACCATTAAAGCAAATCATGTACACGTGGTGCAACAGATGCTTCCTGAGGCAGATAGCCTCCCACAACACATGACTAAAACCTCACGTTAGTAATATGTTCTCCCTTTCACAGCCTAACTCTAACCAGTTTAAACAACTGCAATCTTTTTTATGTTAATAATAAAGTAATAATAGCAGGAGCTAGATTTGATAGAGAAATTCATGTTAGCCTGCCCTATAGTCTTTTTTCTGCATCCTTCCTTTTTTCTCCTCTCTGCTGTACCATACTCTCTGGTTTTCACACTGTGATAGCCTACTTTACAGAAATTAGTAACTGCACGGTAAAGCATACTCTCCTTTAAAGTGCAACATAAATTCGTTATCCAAGACTTTTTTTTAATTTATGTTACTTGTTTTGAAGTACATAATTCTACACCGAAGATTCAGAGCAAGTATTAGAAAGTTATGTGATTCCTGAATGTAAAAAAAAAAAATTTCAAACATATGAGTAGCTATGACAATAGCTCTTTTTCCACAAAGTGTATTGTAATGACTATAATTAGAAAAGTATATTCTAGTGAATTTAAAAGTTCAACTTTTTCATCTTTATAATGCTCTTAAATCATACCATCTAGTCTAACTTAGGTAACAGACCAAAGAATAAGTATGCTCAAACTAGAGCCTCCTTAGAAGACCAACAAATCTCCCATGTGTTTCAATGACTAATAAATCCTGTTCTAAAAATTTAGATCAAGTTTCCCCACATCAGTTTCATCAAGGTCAAATACATGCTTCTTTCCAGGCCACACAAGGTATATCCAAAAGACTTTCAGTGTCAGACAATTTCTGAGGAAATAATGTTTCTTAGAAAAGTTCAAATTTTCTTATATCCTCCACCAAATGATTTTATGTGAGGCTTCATTTTACAGAGGAAAAACAAAACTACAGCATAAAACAGGGCATGAGGAACATTAGGAAAAATAACAGAGTGCAGATGAAGTGTCTGGAATCACTGTTGGGAGTTCTCAACTAGGTTAGCAAAATAAAATAGTTAAAATAAAGAGTTCAACATCTTTAGCTCTGGTTACCTTCCCCTCCCAAAAATAACTTATTTACAAGAACTTCCTTCCTTGGTGTAAATACACACTTGTAATTTGTAGCACTGTTTTAGTGCTGCTGTGTCACAGCAGAAAGTTATTGTAAATTGTATCATTTTTCCTGCCAAATAAAAAGCCAATTAATATGTAACAACGTACTCAAGATACTACTCTTCCAGGAATCTTGCAAGCAAAAACCATGCAGCATGAACCAGGAAATCCATTACCCTGCTGGTAAGTAAAATCCCTGTATTTCATGCAAGCTTTACTTCTAATAAAGTTGGGGTTTTTTTAATTATCAGTCCTCATTCTTAATCAAAACAAGCAGTATTACCCACTGTGACAGAAAAAAAATCTAGCTTTGAACTAGCGTATAATAGGACATATTCAGCGTATATACAGATCTACTGTAATCAGGTAGCTATGTAACTATGCTGTTAAAATGTCAGATCTTTTAAGATTATGGTAAAGATGCAATAAGAGTGCTACAGTACGAACATACAGATTACTAGTTAAACTTGCAATTAAATTGCATTTCTCATTAATTTCAGGTTTGCTTTCAGTCTCTTAGAAGAAAGTACTATGCAAATACATATTCACCAGTGATTTGCATGGAGACTATATGTACAAAAAGCTCATTTAGAGGTTTGTTTTTTTTTTTTTTAAGTATTTCTCAATAATTAAAAATGAGCTAGGAAAAAAAAGGGCTAAATTTCAGTCATTTTACACACAGGGAGTAGTCTGAATATATAGTTTCACTCATCTCATTACCCCAGCTATAAAAGTAGCCCTCATGAACTGTTCTCATTTCAATCATTTTAACAGGTTTTAAGAGTAGGTTCTACCACTTGGATTTATCTCCACATTCCTCTGGAACAGAGAAACTTAAGGTCAGGTATAAAGATGGTCCACTGGAAACTAGGACAGATCTTTTAAATACTAGTAAGTTGCCAATGTATAAATATTTCACTATTTTCTTTTAACTTTCTTAACTTTCATCTATAACAACTGCAGCACAAGCCAAGAGAATCACACAATGCTGGAGCTCCTCAGAAAGCTCACGCTCCATCACTAACATTTTGCAGACTGGATTGTGCGTGTCCCAGACATTAATGACAATAACCAAACATTCTGCGATAACAGAGCTAGACTATTTCCAGGGCCTGAACTACCTCACCATGACACTCCCTAAGGTACAGAGCAGATTTTTTTCCTCCAAAGTTAAAAAGTACATTATTTTATTTTGGATCATTCTCTCTGTTGTACTGTGTTCTGTCAGAAAACTCTGATCAATGAAGCATGAATCACTGTTGATGCTGTTTGTACGTAGTCACACGGAAAAGTAAGTAGCATCACATTAAACTTGACAATGATAATTCACAATTTAACTCATTCAGGGAGAACAATCTTTCCCAAGATGTTACCAAAAAGGAAAGAGAAATCAGGGCAAGATTCTTCTCCCACTCACCTCCAGTGAGAATGGGCTTCAGAAACACATGGCAATACCCTCATTTTTAGGGGACAGGAGATGAGGGGACATCTTCACTCCCCTTCCTTTCTCAAGCCTGTACCTGACAACTGCCAGAAAGCAGAAGCAAGAATAATGAAACTCACAGATATTTCCATTCCTACCCAGTAATTTTGAGAAACTCAATGGTAAATGTGAATAAGTGCAAGGGCATGTCCTTTATCAGGAGCCTGCCTACCAAATGCATTTGACCACAATCAGAAAAAGCTTCAGGCAGCTCTGAATAACCTTCCCTAGTTCATAAGACTTAATCTGCCATTAACTTACAGCAGAAGGTGCTTACTACTTGCCTGTAAAATGTAAGCAAAACCAAATAAAGTTTTCTAGACTGCTATCCTGTAACAGCAATTGTTTTGCACCATGAAGTGCCTGAGATAGATCTAAGGTAAAAGGAAAGCCCAGTGATGCCTTAAGCAAGAAAACCTTAGAGCAAAGAAACTAAAATACGTCAACTCTTAGTTACCTCATAGCAAGCTAAACCAACACCATTTGCCCACCTCTTACACTAATCACAAAAATAACAGCTTTTATACATGGTCATATAAAACTTTCCTTTAGGCTAGAACAATGGACAATAATATTCCATTTCAGACAATTCTAGAAATTAGACTTTCCTTCCACATTTGGCTGTGGGAAGGGCTGCATTAAGAAAAACAGCAACAACTACTCAAGTGCTGGAACATAAAGAGCAGTTACATTAGGGGGGGGTAGGGGGGTGGGGTGTGGAAGGGGGACAGACCTCATGTATGCACAAGTGAAGGCTTTTTACTCCTACCTCATCACTTTCATCTACTTCAATACCACCATCTTTGTCATCATCCATTTGCTTATGGATCATGCGGAGAGCTTCTAGGCTGAATCGGTCCTCCTCAGTAAAGCATGGTGGGCTGAGTGAACTGCAGGGATCTAAAGTAGGGGAGGGGGGGAAGAAAAAACAAAACAGAAATATTAGCTGCTGTCACTCTAGAATATAAAGCTTCCAAGCAAGAGAAAGGGGTTAAGTTTCTGTATGTGTACATGTACTTCACTGGACATCACCACCAGATCATAGATGTCAAATTTAACTGTAAAATAATAATTCTTACCAAAAAAGTACTGGGGGGAAGGTGTGTCAACTCTTTTTAATCCAGGAAGGAAGCCCAAAGAATAGGCTGGAATAGTTTGACTCTTGGATTTTTTTTTTTTTTTCTTTTCCACCCGTGTAACTGCTATCTCCACCTTCTATCTATCTATCATCCACCCTTACCTTAGTAATACATCACTACAACAACCAATAAAGTCATGCATTTGCCAACCTCCTTTCTGAAAGCCTGGGCTAAAGAGAGAGCATTGGAGGAAAAGAGTCGTCATGTCCTATAATCATAGCCCCATAAACCGATAACAAAGGGGTGGTAACCACACAAATTCAAAATAGATAGTACCGGTGAATGCAAAATATACAAGGACTACAAAAGAAGAAAGCACACCACAAAAAAAATTCAACTGATAATACTACATGATATCTCACTCCTGTATGCTCTGATCAAAAACAGTGACTGTGGAGCAGGATTCCAGGTCAAAAATAGTTATGTTTTCATTTGCATTCATTACTGAAGGCTCAGGATTTGTGCACATCTGATGGCTCTGCTTCCGTCATGTCAGATCGTTTTATCCCTGTTCTTTCCCTTCCACAAGGCACATGCCAAATGCTCCAAAATTCTACAACGCATGATGATCAACCAACATTAAAGACTGGTCTTTCACAGACCCTGACATTAACTAATAGCTAGTATTTCATTAATTCTGATGTACCAAATACCATGAAAGAACAGAAGATGAAGAATGATAAAGAAATATTTTTTTTTGAAAGTTCAGCTTTAGTAAGATAGTGAATTTCCACTGTAATAGCCGTTATAAAAATGCACTGACTATCCCCATGAACTGGTACACTCCATTTTAATCATATCAATTCAAATACAAATTGAGGCAGCATATGAGTAATTTTGCTTCTTCTAGTCTATCAGAGGATTAAGCTTTCTTGTTACTACAGAATTTATTAAAGGCTCATTTATATAAGTAATGAAAAGAGAGCACATTATAGAAATAGATAGGATCAAGAGTTTGCACAGAGAGATAAATGTATTGTGTTAGCACTTCTGTACCAATTGATGTGGCATGATTCTGCTTTTCTGTCTTTATTATCATTTTAAAATAAAAAGAATGGATGCTGATAGCACTTAGCTTGCCCAAAGCTACAAAGCAGAAGTACGAAGGTAGTAACACCATGGCATAGCTGGAATCTCAGACACATTAACAGGACTGATCCCTACAGCTGGAAGTAAGTCAATGCATTCTTACTTTATACACCAGTTTTATTATATTGAAATTAACAGTTACCTGTTATCTGTGCCCATGTATCAATAAAAAAAAAAAAAAAACACCAAAACCAACACCATGAAAAAAAAAAAAGTCAAACACCTCACTGATACTGCCCAGAACAGAGAGAGATGCTGTTTTTAGAACTACTTCATATAAATTAGAAAGACAAATTACTACACATTAAACCAGGCCAGCTACAAACAGTTTTCAGCTTTGGAATGCTACTAATATTTCTTGAAAAAAAAGTGAAACCAAGTAATTTTTTTACATTTTTAAAGAAATCTACTGTGCACTTTTGTTTCATTAGAAAAGGTTTAATTTGCACAATATACAGACTTCAAATTTTTACCTTGCAATGAAAAAATTACTGTCATTGGGGAGTTTAAGGACTTGTCCCCGTAATACAGAGTGCTAGGTACAGGAAGGCTTCCCTTGTAATAGTAATGAATCACCTGAAAGTTCTGCTAGTAATTAAATTCCAATAGCCATGAACAAAGAATATGACACTGCCCAAATACAATCATATATCAGAAGAACCATCTTTGTATTGCGAGAATAGATCTATACTATGCTTCAAGTCAGAAGAAAGCACAATTGTCAGAACAGATAAACAGGTCCCTCAAACACACCCAACCTGTTTAATTTGTAGTTAGTTCTATTCTTACACAGAAGAAAATATCAGATAGTTTTCAGTTTGCAAGCACCCACTCAAACACTTTTCCATTTTGTTCCACTGAAAGCCCAGCTTTTCAAACCCAAAAGGTTTTCTCCCAGCAAATTTTCTCAACACTGAGGTTGATCGGTTTCTTAATCAGAGTACTTATTTATCTTAAAGATGCCTTTCTTGGTTATTTAAGCATGAAGGCACTTTAAAGATCTATGGCTCTTCTTGAGAGAAGTAAACAGGCTGCTTGTGCTTCAAATGTCCCATGCGCTGGCTCCAGGAACACTTGATCTCTCTCTTAAGAGACTATAGAGTTCCAATTGCTTCTTTTGGGACTGAGAAATGTGGAGTAGGACCACATGGACTGCAATAAAAATTAACCCACTCTAAGCAGAATCCAGATTTACCTTCAAGCTTACTTACATATGGTAAATTTAAACATTCACAGACTGACAACACTTGTCATCCCCCTCTTCAGAGAACGGTCTCAAAACAAAAACAAATTGCAAAGCCACAACCTAAAGAATAAGTGAAAAGCATTTCACAAGCATGCCTACAAAGTCCTACCAAATCCAAAAAACAGCTGATGGAAATTTAATCATCTGCAGCTCTGCTGAAGATTCCAAAATGCAGTGTTTTGCCCCATTTGCACAGCAGAAACAATTTGAATTAATACCAGATGAAGTTATGGTTAGGAACTTCTCAAACACCCAGTTAATTAAGATAAAAGCCGAGAGGAAAACTCTCATGATATAGCAAGCACCATAAATATAGGCCTCAGGCCTCACAACTAATTATAAGACTAGTTGATAATCTATTTTTCACTTTGAATCCACCCCATTGAAGGTGTTTGGGGATTCAAAACCTCCTATTGTACTTTAAGAACAAACCGAATTTCACATCTGGACCAATTTCTCTGTCCCAGTCTGGTGTGTTGTCATAAACACACTTAGTCCAAAGTCGCCATCACGGGCAAGAGCACAGAGGTGATACCAGGAAGTTGCCTCAGTGACTGAACCTGGTAGCTTAGAATTTGACCCTTCCTTTAACAAACAGCACAGAAGAACTAGCAAAGCAAACAAGAGCGACAGGCTTTAGGCGAGGTAGACAAGAGGCATACAAGCACACCATATGTCAGTCTATGCAGGAGTTACGTCACGGCCCAGTTTTTAATGTTGCTCAGAAGCGAGGAAGTTTCAGAACTTCTGGTCGTGATAAGGAGCAAGTTTGTTACTAAAAAAATTAAATGTCAAATTCATGGCTCAACAAACTTGGCAGAGGCTTTTGAACCAAACCTTCCTCCTGCCTTGAGTAGCTCAGTAATTGCCTCCTAGATCTGAGGCAAGAGGAGAAAGTAGTCTTCACCAGGCCAAGAAGCTGAGCAAAGCCATGGGTAGACCAGTCGTATAGGAGACAGTTTGATAATGAACCGAGTACAGAGTTATCCAACCCAGTATACAGGAAACTTTGTATTTACAGATAAGGGGAAAATAACACTTAGCACTTTTTTTTCCTTCCTTCTCCCCTCCCCTTCTCTCTTTCAATGAGGCTAAAATAAGGCAAGACTACAAGAAAAACTTCAGTCCAAAATTCTTCTAAACTTTAGAATCACGGCCTTTTCATCCCATTTCCTGAGGGCAACAGGAGTTAAACTTGAGAAGTGACACTGTCAACACAAGCCAGTAAGGAAAATTAATTACACCTGTATCTTCAAGCATTCATGTCAGCAAAGCCCTTGAAATTTATTTTCGGAATACGCCATTAGAAATGGTTCCAAAGCAAAAGGGTATATTGCACCTCAGTCTTTCATCTATCCTGCATTTACTTTTCCTTAAACTGTTGGGACCGTAAAAGACTTCACACGATGAGAAGGACTGACAGACCAACACATAGCTAATAATCCTGCAGCTATCTCACACGCACCCCCTTTTGCATATGGACAACTGGAGCTTAAAAGCCATGACCGTGCCAAAGCCTGTGACAGAGGGACCCTAGCCAGATGTTTGCAGTTCCAGTCTGGCCTCCAAAGCACCAAAGTCCTTAAGTCTTTTCGGTGCCTCAAAGACCCTTTTTAAGAAGACAGGGACACAAAGCCTTTATGATTTTCAGATGTACCTGGAACCAGATACATACCTCCAAATTTAAAATGTAAAAACTTTAAGTTTCCCCATTAGTTCACTCAGAGCAACTTAGCCTTTGGGAGTTATTTGGAGAGATTGGCTACTACACATCATTTATGCTCTGAGGATGTTCAGCGTTCACCGAGAAGGAAGAGCACTTTTTTACGCTAACATATGGCAGTCCTATGGAAGCCGGCAGTGTTTCCGTGACTGCCTTTTTCTGACAAATGCAGGAGTGTTCCATGTTCTGCTAGTTTTACGATTCCTCATTCCTAAGAAACCATCTGGGATAAAGGGAAGCCTCACAGAAAAGGCAAGCACTCCACACAAGTGTCAGCTTGCTAAGCACATACTCTCAGCTTAAAATAACTATGTTTCAGCAAGCCACGATGACAGAATTAGAATTTCTTTGCATTTTCCAGAGCCAAAGCAGGTGGCCACAATATCCCCAACCCCCCACCAACTGCATCTTCACCTAACTAGGATCTCTATTTCCTTACGTTTTTGTGCTTTAGTACTTCATAAATTCAATATGATTCTGTTCAAAGCAAAAAAACCTGTAAGGGAACAATGATTTTTAAAGACCTGAGTACAATCTGAGTGTCAGGTACACAAGGATTATTGAAACTACTGAAAAGCAAGCATTTTGAAGAATTTCACCAGATGTTCAAAACAGCTATTCACAGTAAAGGCAACAAACATGTTGCTTTCATCTTAAATCCTTACATAAGGTGTCATTAAAATCTTCAAATGCTTGAAG